TGGTGAAGAAGACCATAGCTATCTGCAGAGGAGCTAATATATTTTCTAGTATACAGAGCCACACCCCTGTTTCCCAGACACTAGTGCTTCAGTGTCATCCATTCCATCTCCAAGAGGCAAATAACATACCATCTCTGTGTCTCACTTCATCATCTCAGAGGGCATGGAGGAAGGGGGGTTGACTTTGAAGAAGAATCTGCCAATACGGGAGGTCACAAGTCACTTATATCTAGACAAATCTCCCACAACAGTTTGCCCAAATACCACAGCTTACTTCTATACAGTCTCTTTTACCACTCCCTAGGGTACTAAGAGGGCGGTTCTCCTACTGGGTCAATGCAGCGCACTTACATGGGGATTAAAGACTTCAGCCAAGTTTACAGCCTGGACTCTGAAGCTTAGTTTAAGGCTGCTGCACATCAGAGCCATGCATCTGGGGCTGGAAATCCTTTCTGAAACTCTACCAAGTGAAAGTGAGAAATTCTAGGACTGAGTGTCCTCAGCGGGCTGGTTTGTTGTTACTGAGCGCTTTTCTTACCTCTCTGGCTCTCTTCATAAAGCCCAAGGAGCTCCTCTTGGCAGTTCAGTGATGATGTTATTGGCAGATGCTTTACTACAATCTTTGCCATGCCCTTCAGAGACAGCCAGAATATCCAAGAGCACTCTGTGCTTTCCACGTATCCTGATGAGGAAGGAGCAGAGATAAACCCCCGGGGCTCTTCTGACTCCACTTCTGACACACATTATGTGGATAAATGTGCACTTCAGTGATAAAAGCATTAAGAAAAGATAGTAAAAGAGCTTTCTACAAAACCTGCCAATTCTGCCCATTATTGAACCTAGTCTAGCAGGTAAATAAAATTAGTAGGAAATACTTTTCCAATATTTAGTTTGTTGGTTTTTTTTTTTTTAAAAAAAACCTGTTCACCGCTCCCCTGCCCCATTTACTGGACTTGCTGGAAGTCTGAATATTCTGATATCGCTGGCAAAAGCACAGCTGCTGCAGTTATTGGAAAGGCCCAAATGAATGGTTCTGATAAAAAGCTTAGCTCTACATAGCACAGATATATATAAATATGTATTTTTAAAACCTGTTCCCATCATTTGGGTAATTTCTTAGAGTCCAGCATGCAGGTTGGTACAAGCCTGCAGGAGTTCTCAAAGTATATATGGTCACAGGGCAGTCTTGTCACCTTAGTCTGGGAGTGCACCAGGCACAAGCCAGGCAGCATAAAGGAGGGAGCTGCCAGGCCTCAGAGGAAAGCAGACTTGTTCGCAAATTTGCTCTGAGCTGTGCTTTGAATCAATGCTTGGAAAATGGATAAACAGATACCTGGTTGGTCAAGTAACTGGGCTAACAGACCTACCAACCTCAAATGCTCCCTCACTACTGAGGAAGAAATGCAATTTTTTTTTTTTTAAATTGACCTGGTGACCAGCCCTTGACAGAGTTATGAAATATTATCCTTTTGCCTATGCACCCTTTTGTTCTCCAGAAACACAGAAGGAGAGCTTAGCCTGTAGCTGCACACACACACAGTGCAGGCAGATTGAACATTTGTTAAATAAGAGACCAAATCAACAGGGAAATATTTGGAAGCATCTGAGTGGTTATAACAGAGCAGGAGGAGAGAAAACAAGCTCACTAATGAGAACTGTATGTCCCTTTAGTACCAAGCATAATAGGGTTGTTTGCCTCCCAAGGCAGCAATTTTTAAAGTGATACCCTCTGTAGAGCAGCTTAAATTCTGTTTAAGTGTGCTTCTTCCCACACCAACATTTATGGGCTTTCTGCGCAGATTGGATGCTGACACCATGCCACGTCTCTGTGTACCTGCACAGGATGCTGAGAGCGCAGAAGAGGTTGAGCTGAGCCTTTACACTGGGTAGAAATCCTTCAAATCCCAAAAGGAGAAGAGGAATGTTGGCCTCCTGAGGAAAGGTGCTGTGGTGCAAACAGCCCCACACAGCAGCACCTGTTAAGGGGCACCCACAGGGAGGCCTCACTCAGGCTTAGCCCACAGCGGAAGAGAGCTCGGCCAAGTTGAGTTGTGGGAAGGGTACCCTTCCTCCAGGAGAGCTGGCCTTACGAGAAAAATCCAAACCTCTTCCACCACAGTTTAGATTGACAAGCAGCGAGTTAATCACACAGCTCTGCACAAGGGCAAGGCAAGAGCCCGTACTCTGCGTTGATGGAGGATGTGGACCCTACGCTTGCAGCCAGGGACAGCAGGGAACGGTGTGGGGACAGCGGTCTGGAAGGAGGTAAAGCCCAGCAGGCTGAGCCACAAGAGCTTGTCTCCAGCTTCATTTTAAAAACAGTTTGTGCATTCGAGTGACACCTCAGTTCAGATCATTGCAGCATCACATACTTGCTGTGAGTTTGAGCTCACCCAGCGATAAGCAGCTCAGCTGAGACTAGCCTGCTCCAGTGTGGGCAAGAAAGAGTCTTGTGTGTGTTTCTAGCCTTTGCTATCCAGCCCTGGAGCTGCTGTACTAATGATGCCTCCACCATCACTGGCTGGGTTGCACTTCCCCGAGGAGAGAAAGCATTCCCCCCCTCCTCCTGTTGCTTATCACTTCGGGGGACCTATTTTTATCTCTGTGGTGTGATGGCTTTGAGCACACCAGCAAGGATGCCAGTGGGAAAAGGAGGAAAGCACACACTGCATGCCAACATGCCTAGTACAGCACAAGTCTGCAAGCAGAGCCGGTTGCACGTCCTCTCCTGCACAGATTGCAGCCCTCAGCTACAGCAGTCTCCAATTTGTTACCAGAGCTGGTGTTGCCCAGTGACTCAGGGGTACTTCAGCCTTCTCATCAGTCTTACTCCAACACTGTCACAGTATAAGATGTGGAAAAACATTTAAATGCTCATATAGGAAGGAGGAGGCACATCAGTAGGACAGGGCTGCTTGCTGTGCTCTGAAAGCAGCAGCAAGCTGACAGAGTGCCTCACCCAAGACCACAGCTCTGGCTGTGCTAAGTACATGCATAAGAGATTAACTCCCCCTGCCCTGAGAAACTCAATCCAAAACATGGAAGATAAAAAAAAAGAAGCAATAACTCTTTCCAAGGGCAGTAAGGGAGAGAGATGGAACACCAAGCAACATACTCTAGTGCACAGGAAGCCTGCAGCATCAGTGTTAATGGACCCCTGGGTTTTCCAGGACTCCTCTGGCTGCTCCTCTGCTGTGTGTCCCCTAGCACACTGCCACTTCCCTGCAGCATGCTCTGTTCAGCATCTGAGGAGAGGCACAGTGTACTTAGAGGCAGTTTAGTACAGAACTCAGGAACAGTCAGCACGGCCAAGCAATTCCTGCACTAGGAAGGCAATCGCATGAAAGTCAGATAAAGAGCCAATGGTCAGAGTCTGGCTCAGAGAGCCCTCAGGGCTTTGAATCTTTTGTATGAGACATATGTAAAAGCTGTATGCAATATTATGGCCTCCACCTCTGGGAAAGATTTACAGCTACAGAGTGAGCAATTCCCTGCATAAACTGCCTGACCTACAGTAAATCTATGAAAGCCATTAAAGCCTTGAGAGAGCCAGCGGTCAGCAGCCAGTTGTGTCAGATCCAAGGGTATGGAAGATCTCCAGCCAGCTCCCAGCTTATCTGTGGGGATGGTCTGGCTACCATACAAATGATGGTTTGTTTTGTTAATTGGTTTTAGTTTAGAAGGAAGTTCTCCCTTAGTCAGCACCTGTACTAACATTTCTGTTAGGTCAGTGCGGGACTATGAATGATGCCACAAGGGAGAAAGACTGGCAGCTGCAGCACAAAGCAAGAGACTCCAAGTGCTCATCTAACCTAAGAGTAGGGCATTATCCACTACGTGCTCTTTTCTTTAATATATACTTTAATTTTCTGCTCATAGCTGCAGCACACTTTTTTCAGGATAGAGGAAAAAAAATAAAATTACTCCTGTTAACAGAAGTCCTTCATTTTCTGCTGGCAGCAATAGAATAAAATACAAGATGGGCAGAAACATGAAAACTCTGTCCAGTATTGGCTCTTTTCTCTTTCTTAAGAAATGCTGTGGACAATCACAGCCATTCACTAAATGGAGAATTACATACTTGGCCATATGTGTGCACATGCAGGGAAGAAGGAGGGATAAAGCTCTGGAAGACAAATGTTTTGCATCAGCAGTTTCCCAGTGCAACTACTTTGAGCCAAAGTCCAAAGTGAAGCATTTATCTAGAATGACAAATCAGTTTATTTAACATGGAAGAGAGACTTGAAGCTCTCTGGCAGCTCTTTGAAATCTCTCAAATCCCATCAGATTAAACAAGTTGAAGTGGTGGATTTCTCCATTTGCCAGTGAAACTACAAAGCCAGATTCACCTTGACCTGAGGAGCCTCAGCAGGAGAGAAACTTCTGGGAAGGAGGAGAGAGCTGATGACACCACTGGGTTCACGTGGAGCACCTCAAACAGGCTTGCTCCCTTCATTTCTCTGCATGAGAGTGCCCCTACTTTAAGAACAGGAGCCTCTTCTTTTTGTACAGTATCCACCATTTTCATGTAATCAGTCCGTATTCACTTCTATATGCTACTCTTTCTTCAGCAATTTTCTCTGGCAAAATTTATCCTGCAGACCTCTGAATGCAGCGTTAATTATATCTCGATACACATACACACACAAGTGCAGTTTACAGTGCTGTCCCAAACTATTCTGCCCATCAAACCATGTAGTAGGCATTTTCACAAGCAGACACTTTCTACTGAGAAAAGAATCTGACTAAAGATTACATATTCAATTTGAGAGCCAGAAGTGTTAAATACAAGTTGTATGCTTCTGAAACTCCTATTCTGATTTTCAGTAAGCTTTGTTTAGGAGGAAGGCATGAGGAAGAGGAGGAAGTAGAGAATTTCTGCAGGAAATAATCTAGATTTTTTTTTTTCTTCCTCTTGAGTTATCTCAGAAAGGTCTACCAGACCAAACTTCAGTACACTTGGGATATTTTATACAAAGGGGTTATCGTCAGGACTCATCTCACTTAGAAAAGCAAATATCACTTTTCATTGGCAGTCTTATCCAGTCCAGGAAAATCTTCACCCTTGAATAGACCCCTGGCTTCTTTGGGCTAGCACAGCCAGCATCCCAGCTGACAATGTCCTAAAGAGTAAATGGCCCATTTTCCTTGCTGCAAACTAAGGGGCCACCAGAATCACCCTAGGAACCAAATGAGGGGACTCCCTGTTATCTTGTTTGGACTTCCCACTGCTGCAGCTCAGAAGAGAGCTATCACAGATCAGATTTGCCCAAGAAAAAGCCTGTGTGCAAGAACAGGACATGCAGGAATTAAGAGACTGATTTAGGGTCTTGCTTGACAGCATGGAGTGAAGACTGAGCACAGGCTCTATTTATTAGTCTGCCAGAAGATTACGGTATTGAGCAGAACCCACATTTCAGCTTGACACTGCCTCTGTCAGAATTACTTTGCCTTTTATTTACGCAGCTGCTCTTACCTGCTTGCCTCACCACTTCAGGAAGGTTAGTTCTTGAACAGTGCCCTGAGTACAAGAGTTTTATAAAACCAATATAAGTCTTTATAGTTTATCTTCACAAGAGTGTGCTGTGAAAGGATTTCCAAGCAAGCTATGGCTGGGAACTGTTTCACTGGGATAAGAGACGGTACTTGGGAAGTGCAAGGGAAGAACATTGTCTCCTTTGCAGGTCTCATGAAAATTACAGTCCAGAGAAAGATTACTGAACTCTGTACTCCCATTTCCAAGCAACATTGCACATGGCATATATCTCCTGTACAGACTGACTGCATCTATTGCTCTTATAAGTACTGTCCACTCCAGGGAGCTCCAGAAAGTTGCTGGAGCTTTTAACTGTCACTTGCCATATGCTGTTCTCCACTCTGTCTTCCCAAGCCCCTTCCCCAAGACGGTCCACCAACATCCATATGCAAGACACTTTCAAGAGCACTAATCCGTAGTTTTACCTCACCTGACAGGAGTCCTGGCATCCCACAGGAACAAAGCCAACACAGACCGTCCTGGCTGTGATCCCTCCAGGGTGACTGAAGTAGTAATTTCTCTCACAGATTCCATCCTCAAGTACAGGCACTTGTGTCTGCTGCTACCACCTAGCCCCGCTCCCATCTGTGTAGGAAAGAAATTCAACGTTAGGTCTCGGCAGAAGAATAAAAAATGAGAATGAAATGTATGTTCTGTTCATAATATGAAAATACAATAGGTAAAAAAGAAAAGCCACCTTCTTCAATGATCCCCATCTGGACACAGTGCAGAGGGAAGAGGAGGATAACGTTTCTGTGCTGTTGGGCAGACACACTGGCCTCAGCAGTGTTGTACTCCAAAGGAATGTGTAGCTGCACCAGGGCTGTCAGAGTCATAGCTCAGCATGCCAAAGTGGAGATACACCATTATGGTTTTCACCTATCCCACCTGTGACCAGGGCAGAGGGGTCAGGGCAAAGAAGGAACAAGCTGCCCTCTGAGTGCATCCTGAAAGCATACTTGTAAAGGAAGAGGGCAAAAATCCCAGAAGCAACGACCAAGCTCAAAATAAAACATGAAAAGAAGCAAACAAGAGGCGAGAACTTTGAAGACGAATACCCCACTTCTCTATTTTTCGGTTGAGAAGATTGCTGGGACGGATTATGTAGACCTCTAGAGCCTGAAGTGAAGGCTGACTGCTTCACTGTGCAAGCACAAGCCACTGAAGTTTTGTAGAAGACTAGTGTGTCACTTGTGTCTTCTTTTCCACATGTATTTCTTCCTCCCCCATTAGGAAAAAAGAGTCAGCAAGCTTTTTATAGAGAGATATATTGCTCAGCACCAAGAGAATAAGATGCTGAGGGCACTCAGTCATCTCTGTTAGATTTTAGGACTTTTTACTCCTAGTAATAAGAACCAGATATAAAACATACTTCTATAAACTGCAAGTTAGCTGAATGAGGCCAAAGTTACTGGATTTTCTTTCTCATTCCTCAACCTGTGCTATATATCAGTCATTTTGCCTTGCTGTCAACGCTGTTTTATCTACGAGTATAGATCTGTTTTGAGAAATATTTTAGGGGCAGATACACCAAAGTCAACATTTTTAAAGGTATTGCTTGTTTTTTACCTGTTCTGTTGACTCTGTCAGGGTCTCCTCCTGTCACAGTCCAGTGCACGGGTTTATTGGATCTGTATAATGAAAGCAAACATATTGGAGCTACTTACAGTCAGCCATACAGCTTCCTTATTCAGCAGTCATACATCCCTTCTGGCTCTTCTCTAATTAGTCACTTATTCCCAGGACTGCTGAGCAAGAGCTTCTCACCACGACAAATGTGTGCATCAGTTCTGGCTTGACTACAGCTCTGATAGCAGATAGTCCAATTACCTTTAATGGTTCTCCTACAAGCAAGACCAGAATGTTGCCATCTCTAACATCAGTGATTGTGGAGGAAGGGCAGAAGGAAGGTTTTGTAGAGAACATGAAGCTGTGAATATAACTTATAGCTCTCCAGCTTTTTGTGCCCCAGCCTGGAGGAGCAGCAGGGAGCACACAGCATGGGGAGAGGAGCAGAGGTGGCCCAGGGACATGCTGGTCACAGTCACAGCTGCACACAGCAGGCAGATGCCAGCAGTCACATAGTGCTGACGACAGTCACATTACACTGGTAGTCTCCAAGGAGCTTCAGGGCAGCCTGCCATGACCAACAGTGAGGACAGGCCTCAGCCTCACTAACACACTTGAACAGCCACTGCAGGAAGGCCACAGATGCCTGCAAGAAAGACAGAAAACTAGCCATACCTTCATAGGTAAGCCCGACACAGCAGATTCAGCAAAGTCAAAGACACTGGGGAGACCAAATTCATCTGCCCTGTCTGGAAGTGGTAGGGGAAGGCAAAGCAGATGCAAGAAAGCTTGATTCCTAAGGAAGTGGGTGCTTTGGAAAGCAAACAGGTCTTGGGCACTGAAAGCATGTCTCTCCCATCCTCTACCCCCTTCCAATAGGAAGCACATGCAACCAGAATGGAGAGGATGTACCACACGTATGGAGAATGAGAGATGGACACCTGCCTATCACTTTTCATCCATGCAAGAAGTGCACAGAAGGGGACCTGAGGTCAGAAAGCATCTGCCTCACTGCAAAATCCTCTTATATGTTAGAGGAAAGCTCCTCAGACCAGATCAACTGAGCAGAATTTAATTTATTTGCCAAAAGACATCCTTCAGAGGCAACATTGGTGCCGTAGTTATTTTGGATCTTCTCTTCCTTCCTCCTCCGCAAGAGAGGAAATAAGAGTTAGCTCCAACTTGAGTCAATAACTCAGGCTTGTCCCCTCAGAAAATTTCCCCACTCTGGAAAGGAAATGTTATTAATACCCTCAAGCAGCAGCTGGCACACATTCATGAAAGCAGAAAGCAACATTAGAGAGCAGCCCCCAGGATCAAGATTCTCCTCTATAATGAGACTTTTCAAGAGGAATATCAGACTGAGAGAATTAACAAGGCTGCTTGTTTCAGGTAACAGAAGTTAGTCATCTCATTTCTCAGTGAGAGGAAAAAACCCACCTTGATTCACCTCCCTTATTCAGGAAAGGGAGCTCTGCCACAAGTAGCTATTCAGTTTTAAAGTTACCTTGACAGAATGCAGCAGGATTAGCCTAAAAAATAAGCTCCTGTGTCTAAGAATAGCTACAGATAATGCAGACGTTGTTAGACACAGCAAGCATCTCTCTACTAACCTGAACGAACAAAGGCGAGCCAGGCTCAACCCTCTGATGCTGTTCCTTCCATCACTTTCAAAATGTACCAGCATGGTATTTCCTGGACTCAACACTGGTGTGGGAGTTGAGAATCCATAGAGATTAGCTGTGGGAATGAAGAAGCAGCTGTATTTTTAAGATGAGAAATGTCATCCTGTAAGCACTGGTGTCTTCAGCTAATCTAGGTTTCTAAAAAAAAACCAAAAACCAAAGCCCTAGAATCTTGGTGACTTTCTGATTAAAACAAGAACTTTTGCAGAAGAGGCACCTGCAAAGCAATGTTAATCACCGACATCAGCAAGCAACAGGAGCCAGAATTAATGTACTACAGTTATGCTACAGGTATATAAAAGTAATCCTAATATTCATATAGTGGAATTACAAGTAATCTTCAACAGACAGTGTGAATGCCCTCCATTGCACAAGAACTCCTACACGTGACAATTTTATTTGCCACTGTTGAGAGCTTGTCCTGGTTTCACTGGGATAGAGTCATAGAATGAATATTCTGTTCAGGAAAGCTGCATTTCTGACAAGACTACAGTACTTGATTTCATGGGAATAAAGTTGATAAGACATTTTCTTTTATTTTTCGGCTGGCACTGGTATGCAATGGTCAAGGTCTTTAGCAGTTTTGAGTTAGCCAGGTACAGAAACTGGGGGGAGCAAAAGTCAAGGCAGCTGACCCCAAGCTGGCCAACAAGATTATCCCATACTATCAACATCATGCTCACTATAAACTGGGGAGTTTGCTGAGAACAGCCCTCTTTCATCCATGATTGTGGTTACAAGAGGGTCTCACTCATCATTCTACTTTCAAAGCCTACTCCCCAGCTCGTTGTGACCATCACAGCTTGCAACCACTGTATTAGCTAAGTGTAACTCTGCATACTTTATATCAATACTGCTATTGATACTGGTTTGTAAACGATATTTTTTTAATTAAATCTGTTTCTATTTCAACACACAGGTCTCCTTTCCTTTTCCCAAGTCCCCTCCATGAGTGGGGAGGAGTCATTGGGTGACAGAACAAGTACCTAAATGGAGACGGGGGTGCAAGCAAAGTCTCTCTTGAATGGTTCACATTTACAGGTTTACCTAGAACACAGCTGTTAGACTTTCCTTCCTATTGAGAGCACTCAGTTTGCATAGCATCTGGAAGTCCCATAATTGCAGCTGGATAGGAAGCTTGCACATTATTCCAGAGGAGCTTTCCTGTAAGAATCTGAATTTCTGATGGCAAAGCTGTGCTGGAAAGCATCAAGTGAAACATTTTGGGATGCTGAAAGCTCTCCCCTGAAAGTTTTCAGATCCAAATTTGTCAGCCTTCCTCCCTCACCACTTAAATACTTCTTTCCAATGGAAACCAGATTTCTTCTCAAAGAAACTTTAGTGTTAATACTTATTCAGCATTTGATAAACACATGCAACTAAATTAACACTGCAAAATAGATGGGGAAAAAGAAAATATTTTAGTAAAGATCACTTGTCAGTGGTGAACCCAGGACAGTTCAACCCTCTGACCCAGCTTATTTGGTGTAAAGAAAAAGAGCACTGGCCTCTCATCACTCTACTCTGTCTTTTGGTTGACACACTGGCCTGTAAAGAGGTAGCCAGAATTCAATTCAAATATCTTTACTTCTAAGCACCAGATTGCTTTTCACCTTAAGAACAGATACCAAGCTCTGCTAAACTGAGTGTGGTGCCTGGAACCTGTTTTTTTTAAAAAAGATGGGGTGTTACAACATGCTTTCATTTTGTCCAAGTAAGAGGAATGTCTGGATATATAGAAGTTCAAAAAAAGGAAAGTTAAGAACATTTATTTCACTGAATTTAAAGATTTTTAAATTGATAATACTGAAGCAGGTTTAAAGCAAGGAATTAAAAAGTATTTCCTTCTGAAAGTGTGGGAAAGCAATGCCTCCAGTTAGCAATTTTTCATTAATGAAATTCCAACAGAATTAGTTCAAATCATAAAGAATTCATACCCATTTCAGAGGAATTAGATACCCATTGACAACTACTCTTTTGCTCTGCCTTACTTCGAACATTTGTCTTCTTTAGTAACACTTAGATCAAAGTTGCTCTTGCTCTCTCCTTTGGTAGATGCAGAGCAGAGGCCTGATCCAGCAGCACACACTTGTGTGCTCTACTGCAGGACATGAGCCATGGTCCTATATCCAGCCCCACAGCACCAGCTGGCTCTACATGAAAAAGCATGGCCTTGGACCAGGATGCGGGGTCTCCTGTGCCACTGGTGCGCTTGGCTTCATCATGATGGGCGAGACAGATGGCCAAGGCTCAAGGCTACTGCAGAAGCCCTCATATTGACCTTTCAGTAGTACTGAGTACCACGTTACCAGGGAGATAAAACACATCTGTTTCCAGAGGGATTTCTAATTTAAGCCTGAAACAATTAGTGCTCTCCCGACTGGTTTCCTCCTTCATCACCGTAAACAGTAACTGCATCATAAATGCAGCCTCCTAAATTCCACAGCAAAGTCTTCAAACTCCAGCTGGAAAGAGGACAAGCAAGAGGGAATCATCAACACTGAAACACATCCCATTCTTAACCATGGGCTGGAGAAAAGCTAGATTTCAGAGGAATTTGAGCATGGCATCTCTTGGTGAGTGTGCCACACTTGGCATCAAAACAGTCTGTTGGCAATCTTGGCCCGACTGCTGCCTCCTGTGCAAGGTTACAGACAGGTCTGCAGAGGGTGAGGCTGGCCTAAGCCTTGCCTTAAGGGATATCAACTGTCATCTTTACTGCAAAACCCAGGGTCAATATCCCATACAGAACGCCCTTCCAGGAGCTTTTTTCCTTTAAGCACGGAGAGTGAGTGATTTTTCCTTTGCTTGTTCTGTCTTTTTTATGTTCTGTTACACTATGGAGTTTTTTTGGTTTTGTTTGGGTTTTTTTCTATGTTATGGAGTTTTTTTGGTTTTGTTTGGGTTTTTTTTCTATGTTATGGGGTTTTTTGGTTTTGTTTTTAATCCAGACCACAAGTTCACACACCAGCAGAGTAGCAACACCAGCCCAAGCAACAGGTTTTCATACCCTCAAGCATCCCTTGGTTTAACATTGTTTTTCCACCCCATAATCCAAGACAACAGGGGAAGAGAGATGCTGCTGCTTTGAACAATGTAAATGGCATCGTGACTTATCATGGGCTGGGATGAGCTGGTGGGGTGCTTGCTGCACATAAGCAAAATAACAATAAAGATAAATGCTAGTACTACGAGTGGGAACTATTATCAGACAGCCCATGTGCAATGGGAAGCAGACACCTTGGTACAGGGCTAAGGCATAGCTTGGGGGTGGGGTTAGACACTGCCTTGAGGAAAATGCAGACTGTATTGTTTGCAACATGCTCTCTATCTCCCCTTTACCCTCATATCTGTGCTGGATTGCAAGATAAAGCAATCCTGTTATGAGATTGGTGCCTACAGACTTCAAACACAGCTTCCATACAGGAGTTTGGAGAAGATGTCTAAGTGACAAAATTTGCCCTGCAAAGAATCAGTGATCTGGAAACCTTACAATTTACAGTCTTGCATATCACAGATGTTTCTGATAGGATTTTATTGAATTGCTCCCCTGAATAGTTATTAGTGCAGAGCTTTAAGTGCAGTTTCTCCTTTTATTACCTTTACGACATAGTTTGCTGGACCCTCAATGAGCCAGTGGCACTTGGTGTTCCTGGGGAACAAGCCAGGGTAATTAGCAGTCTCAATCTTCCCCTCTTCCACTAACACTGCGACACTTCCTCAGCCCAAGCCTGCAATACTCGAATAAGAAAGGAGACAACTTAACAGACGGGATTATGCGGTACTTGTAATAAACCCAAATCAATAACTTGATTTTTAAGGAACCCAGGCACACTAAGGATAGTTGTTATTTTAAGGAGTGCCAGGAAGAGGAAGAAAGGAGTTTCTATGGTATTAGCGAGGTCACCTGCTTCAGAGGCCTTACAGACAGCCATGAAGGTGAGCTCAAAGCTGTAGCCCGCGTTGCTCCCGTCAGAAGCAAATGCAATGGTGGCCTGGACTGACTGCAAGCAGAGAGGCTGGGAATACATTCCCACAGGATTTACCTGAGGGAGACAAGGAGCTGGTGTAAGGGTGGGCTGAACATACATATATTCAGGCAAATCTTGCACTGATTTGTTAAGCTAGATCCCATTGGGAAGGTCTCTTCTTGCACTGATGGAGAGACTATTCAGCTTTCATTACCTATAAAATATTTAGAGGCAGTATAGAGAAATTGAAGAGATGGGATTTCATCCAGAGTAACCACATGAACAACCATTACTAGAGGATGAATTGCATGATTAAGGATTAACATTACTACCAACACATCACCATTAGTACTAAGTAGGAGTGCAGAGGCAGTCAGTATTTGCAGGAAATATTTCTTCTCTATCAGTTTAGTATTAAGTGCACCTTAAAAGAGGGACAATGGGCCATGTTTGTCTCATCTGTACAGTTACCCAGTAATCTGCATTGCTCGTTGCACCGTATAACCCATTTTGAACCAAGGAAGAGACAACCCTTGAGCTGTGTCTCCAATGCATGAGACAGTTGCTGGCTATGCTAACACATTGGAAACTCGTCTGGCCATGCACCAGTTAAGCAAGGCTAAGCACTCAGTTTATTCTGATACCCAGGGTCTGCAGGAGTAAACCAGGTATATTGGAGACAAGGCAGAAGGGACACTGAATTACATACATTTAAAAAACCTTTTTGAGACAACCATTGCACTGGACTAGATGCCAGCACAAATATGAACATGTCCCTCAGTCCCACTTGCCTTGCTCCATTTGGGTGTTGTCTCTAGCTCTTCAGATTCACAGTGACAATACAAAAGGCTTCTCAAAAGCCAGCTAGATTTGCTGTTCTTCATGACAATGAATGACGAGAAATTACAACCAGTAACCCTCACTCCTCCAAGGCACCCAGATTTACTGATCAGCTCTCTTCCATTCAAATAGAGGGACACAGTCACGGTCACATCCAACTTGGTACACTACATCTAATTTGCTGAAGTGTATCAAGATTATTTTATCCTCTGGCACTGTTATATTCCAGGTGCACAGGCTAGAAGCAAGCAGCAGCAAGGGCATGTATCTGCAGGGCTGAGCTTAGCCCTCATCAGTCCCACAGTGGGCTGGGAGTCTCCAGCCAACTGCTTTCCTGCCAGTACACCACCACAAGCTGACAGCTGATATCACCTGGTAAATTTTAGCATCTTCCCCCTGGGCATAAGCCATCTGGGAAGAGAGTTACAATCACAGAGGACTGCTGTGAATTTGCTCAGCACTCGGTAGGGACTGGCACTTCGTTACAGCAGCAATAGCTTTGTGGTGGGTGACTGACGTCCCGCCAGTCCAGTCCATCTCATTCCCCTGCCTCCTGTGGGAGCTGGAAGCTGCTTTGTGCAAGCTGACATCGATATGGCCGGACCAAAGGATAAAGGGTACAACAGATCTCCAGCCAGCCACAGCCATTTCATGAGTGTGGCTCGGACAGAATCTGTATTACAAATAGACTTTATGTCTTCCTTCCTTCCCCTGCAGCATTATCCTGCCCAGCAAGCCTAGCTAGGGATTTGCATTGCAGGGAACACACAGCCACTGTCATCCAGACACTGCTGAGAGAAGTGCAGGGCTTGAGCCCTGGGAAACACAGTGGTGGGCGCCTCAAGGAAGATGTGGTGTTTGGCTGCTACAGCAGTTACCTGTTGTCAGGGTAGCTATCCTCCAAACCCTGTGGATACTGAATGAGGCCACTTTTTACAAAGAGCAGGACGCCTTGGGAACTGCACTCTGCTGGCGCACGGAAAGGGCTTGGCACAGCAGCTAGGGATTGAAAAGAATTGTATGGGATATTTCAGTGCAGGCGCTATGGGTCAAGGCACAAGCTACAGCACTGCAGTTGTTTCAAACACAAAGTGCTTGACATACAACTGAGAGAAGCCTCAGATGAGAACAAATCATTTCTTTCCCAAAGTCCTACTTAAAAATCCCCAAACTTTCAGGAGCTGTCCCATCAACACAGTGGCTAGCATTCATTCAGCCTGACAAGAGCTGACGTGGCTACTCCAAGCTCAGGTTTAATGAACCACTGCTTTTATGTTGGCCTTCCCTTCATCTTCTATGAGCATTAGGTCTGCATGAATCCCAGTATCTCTGTTTTGCAAAGGGTAATGCACCCACTTTGTAGCCACATGGCTTCTGCTCCTTTCAGTTACCGTTACCAATTAAGAGGCACCTTCTTAGCTGCAGACAGTCCCCCTTTGAAAGCATAACCATTAAGGATCCTTAGCAAAGCCATAATAGGTTGGGTATTAGTTAATAGTAACACCTCAACTTCGATGGCTATGACAGAAATAACACTATCACTTTAATAACTTGTATTAGCCCTATAATCATTTGTAGAGAAAAATACAAGTGGCCAGTGGGGAGCCGCTAGACCTGCGCCCAGCTATAAAATGCACTTCTTATAAGCCACTAAAACTCTAGCACAGTACAATGCCCCTCTTCCCATACGCATTCAAAGTTGTATTTGATGAGGAGATAACCCCTGATCAATCCTGCATGCAATTACAAGAGCACAACAGCAGTTCAGATCTCGAACTGGCAAGTGCTCAAAGCAAGCTTTTATTAGAGCAGGGCTGGTGTGCAGCACCGGAGGGACACCTTGCTGAGCTGGGAGGGCTGCATTCAGCAAGGAAGAGGGCAGTTTGAGAAGCTTTCTGCTTTTCCTTCAGAGGATGCGGGGGTCAGGCCTGCTACAATAACAGCGTTTCTGAAGGGGGACTTAACTGTTCAAACTATTGGTTTTGCCATCCCAAATTAAAAGATGATACACTTTGCTGCTGATGCTGCAGCTGAAAATTAAACAGAACTGCTGTGGGTGTAGAGGAGGAGGCAGACATAGCAGGGCAATTTGGGTTCTTATGGTGCTGAAGAGACAGGAAAGGGAAAAAAACCTCCCAGTACTCATACATGCCTGGTGTCACATGCTGGGCAATGAAACCCACAAATGCAGCCACCTGGAAAAAGATGCCTGGTAAGCCCTAGGCCATGGTGCTTCTCTTGAGGGCACTCCATCCTCTGGCACTACCAACCCTCCAGGACACCCCACCAGCCAGAATCCAGGTGCTGCTGGTCCTCAGACACACAAGGGAGCCTCCGGAGTCACCCTGTCCGCAGACTGTTGAAGAGGAAAGGTGCCGTTTTTTCCTGTGCCAGCAAAACCGACCTTTGATGCTGTTGCACGACAGAGCAGCTTCACTGCAGAAGCCAACGCAACCTTGCTTTCTTCTCCCCAGTCACAGGGGCCTGGCACTGTCCCTGCTCATTCAGCTGTGCTTGTGTAATCTAAAACTCACCAATCTAAGCTCTGTTGTCTCACTCCCCTGATCTGACTTGCGGTTTGGCAGCCTGCCCTTCCCTGTACACAAACCCCTTTTTTCCATGAAGAATGTAAAAATGAAAGCCATTTCACTTACATCAGCTGCAGCATTGCTTTGGAAATGTTCACACAAAGTATGACAGAGGGCAGGGAGCTTCCCAAAGCTTACTGTTTGGTTAAAAAATACTCCCACCTGTACACCCAAAGAGCCTAGTGACACCCTGGTCAGCAGCATTCCCTAGGGCAGGGCCTGACTGGCCCCACTCTCCCTGTTAGGACCAGCACAGAAGGGTCTGGCACTGAGCAAGCTCCAATGTTGCAGTCCAATGCCCAGTGGGGGTTGTTTGAGTGAAGATATCAGAAGGCTTAAGTTTGGAAAGGGGACACTGAGGGAGAGGTGAGAAGTGCCCAATTTCCATCCTCCTGGTAGCATTGCCCATGCCAGGCTCCCTTGCCCACTGCCTGAAGTCCCCACCCTGGTTTCAACTAAGGTAGGGGCATTTGTGTGCAGAAGTGCAGGTCCTGCTGTTAGCTATGCCCAGGACCAATCTAACCAAGAGGGCAAGCATGCTTCAGTCTCCTGCTCACATCTGTACTCCCACTCACAAAAGACTCCTCCTGCCTTCGTTATCCTGAAGCTCCTTGTAAAGCCCTTGCTCAGCAAAGTGCCAATAGTACTCTCTGTGCTGCTGCTTCCCTTTCTCCCCAGGAGAGAAGGTTTGGGGGTGGACAGGACATGCCTGCTGCCCAGCAGGAGCCAGGAAGGACAAGCTGTTACCTTGGACATGTCCCTCTCATTGTCAGGAAAGCTAGCACACACAGAGCCCCAGCACAGTGACAGGTTCACACCCCTCAGCACCATGCTACAGGTCTGGCTGTCGATAAGTGGCAGCTCCAGCTCCTCCAGGATGGGACGCAGTGCCCCAGCTGCTGTGGGAGCAACCAGGCCACATCCAGCACCTGCATAACAGCTTGGCTCTGCAGCCAAATTATAGCTAACAGGGCTGCTGGGAAGTGGAGGACAGGGGAGTCTGTCTCCTCGGCTGTTGATGAGCCCCAGACTACTGGGAATGTGAATATAAAAAGCAATGTTCACAGACATGCCCATCTCCCTTAAAACCTACCACAATTCAAGCTAGTGCAGTTCCTTTGAGGGAACATTTTGCTGTTTTCTAGAGGAGTATAAAAGAATGTACATTTTTATGTACAGGGGAACTATTCCCACTTCTGCAGTACTCTGTAAGGACAAGTCTGCTTGCGACAGGCCCCGATATGCACACATGAATATGCACAGCAGCACTGCACAGTGCAACCTTCTCTAACGTGCTCCAAGGTCCCATGCTGCAGGAAAATGCTGATCTGCACATCCCTACAGGCACTGGTCCTTTGACAAGCAGAGGAGACCTGATGAGCAAAGAGGTACTTGAATTTTCCATCTGGCGGGAGTCACCTTCGCTAGCATTTATATTTCAGAAAGAAAGTGGCTTCTTTTTCCGTTACCTTTTAATTCCTGCAACTGGGACCAGAGCACCCAGCCATTTGGGTCACCCTCAGACATCTTGCCCCAGCCACACAGTGTCCCAGCCTAGAAGTCTTAATCTCTGTGGCAGATGGGCTAAACCTCATCCCTTGCAGAAGAAAGAGTGCACAAATGAGCACATGAACTCCGTGCTTCCAGGTGCATGTCTGGTTTACAGGTACAAACAGCATCCTTCAAGTGCCACACTGTGCCTTTTGACCTCTTTCCAAAACATCAAAGTCACATGTGGGTATTTATAAAATGAGAATACAAACTGAAGTTAGTCACATGCAATTAACTTTATAGATGGCAAATTCAGAGGCGGATATCAGGAAGACTGTTAGCTACCTTTGAATATTAACTTAAGCAGGAGGATATTTGGGAAGGGGACAAAAAAGAAGAGTGGGAACAGCAGAGACAAGGAGACTGGGATGCCTCTGTATCAGTCTCACGTAGTGTGGGAACAGGCTGGTGCTTGTGAGAAATTCTTTACATCATTCTCCCCAAACACCAGGGCTGATCAGATCGGAGGAGTTACACAGGACATGAAAAACCCAGAAGATGCAGCTCAGTTCAATCCAGACTCATATTGGTCAGTTTTTCCTTGATACTGGGGGAATCAACAGGCACACAAGCAGCCCTCAAGCAGCCTTCCTCGCATTGCCTGCCACGATGCCTGAGCCCTGAACTGAACATTTCTTTGGTCTTATTTCCCTTATTCCTGTCATTACAGTCAAACTGTAAGCTATCACCATCCAAGCCAGTGATTTGAGACATGACAGTGACAGAAGGTTATTTTATGTTGGCTGATCTGCCATCTGATGGTCACAGGCAGTCATGGCCAGTTGGCTGTAACCTCCGGTAGCTCTATACTACTCAGGGAATCACCTTTGAAAAGGCTAGCAAGTTAGAGACTTGTGCCACTTCCCTGATTCTGACACCCTAAAAAAAACTCCAGAGGCTTTGGCTTTGCAAGAACTTTGAGCAAGCAGGTTTTAATCCAGCCTGTTTCTCAGTAAGCAGGACCCTTGCAGCTCCCTGCTAGCTAATAGCCCAGGGCTATGGCCAAGAGGAAGCAGATGGCTTTCCAGCAGCTCGGAGACAGCTAGTGTTGGCACAACAGGACTGAAGGGAGCCCTGCTGTTACAGCTCGTACGAGGGGAACACAGGGGCAACACAGAGATCTGGTGCATGAAGAAAGCGTGCATATCCAGAGCACAGACCCTGACCAAGGGACAAACTTATGGGACAGTTAATCAGAGTCCAGTACTAGAATTACCCCAATCACATTACTTTGGTAAGAATTAAAGGCATAACTGAAGGGACATTTCTTTAGCGTAGAGAGCATGGGAAGGGAAAGAAGAAGGGCGTTTCTTCTGGATCAGCACATCAGATGAGGACTTCACCTGTGTTAAACACCCTCTCACAGCAGCAGCTCATCCGCTTGGGCTCCCACTTACCATACAAGGCTGGTACTGCAGGCACAACAGGGCCACATGTAGTGCAGCCGGTTAAATGCAGGGTGGATGGCACGCAAGGCAGGGATGCTCTGCTCCTACGCTGTCATCATCAGGCTCTTCAGAAGCTTCCTGGTGGGGAAAAACCAATGCCAGCTTGATGAGGGAAGGTGCTGCTGCCACAAAGCAAACCATCTCCTGCAAGTTCCCACCCTGACACTAAGCCTACAGCCCCACCATGTGCTCCTGCCCTAAGAACTGGGGCTCACCTTTGGTAACAGGACTTTCAGTTGTGCTGATTTCACATTAGCAGCAAAACCAAGGATTCCCTGCCCTCCAGCTGGAAAAACTGGACTTACATTTAAATGGATAAATAGGTTTCTTGTTCCACCTTCTATCCATCAAGTCACTGTTCATACCTGGGCAGCACAGAGCTGCCAGGAGAGGTGCTAGCAGATTTCATTGCTGCCAGCTTGGTACAGCATAAAGGACAGTTTATCTTTTGCCTTGGGACTCAGAACCCCTGTTCTGATCTCAGCCTTGAAGCATCAAGCTCAGCCCCTGTTACCTGTCGTCTGGCATCCTAAAAGGCACATGAGAAGCCTTAAAAGCAACAGGAACTGACTGCCAAAGTAATTTTGGCCTCATAAATCCTCATTTCTAATTTTGTAATCAATGCATTTAGGAGATGAGCAGAGGCCTGCATCTAAGACCTTTATGATGATTTTAGGCAGCTAATTTTATATGTAGTAAACTTATCAAACTATATGTAGTTTAAATTAACATTAGACAAGTGTATGCTTTCTACATATTTTATAAGCAATATAATGTCACAGTTAAATTTAAAGCAAACATCTATGGCAAAGTCAAAACACTTTTCAGTATTTTTTAGCAATTAGGTAGATAGCTACACTATCAGAGCAGAGTTACCAAATAAATAGATGGGCAGTAGGTCCCACCTTTAGCAAACCAGATCTTTGGCAAAGGAGTCTACTCTCTTCTAGGGACTCCAGTATGTGCAGAGGTGGATAGTTTTGCACGCAATGAGAGATATGAACTAGGTTCATCAACCTACCCAGTACCAGGCGCTGCCAAAAGACACCCACAGGAGCCACACAACTCACCTGTGTTTCAGCTGTCAGTGTTTCCCATTAACAACTCTCACAGCACAGGGTGCAACACAACAGCAAGCTCACCTGAAGATCTTTGAAATTAGGGCTGATTAAAAGTCTGCCTGTACCATTACCAAAACAGGATAAAGCCCAGACCGGAGATGACAGCCTGTTCTCTCCAGACTAAGTTCTCTTAAGAGTCCAAGAAATCCCAGGGCTCAGATAAGAGCTTTGAAGCTCGGTTTTGTTGATCTTCCTTGAAACACCTGCCCTCAATCTTTTCTCTAACCTCCATGGGATTGCATCCCTTCAGGAAAGTCTGACAGCTGCAAATTGCCACCACACTACTTCACCCATGCAGCCTGGCTTGAGGGGGCTGGTAGGCACTCACTTTATTATGTCTGCTTGCCCTGAACTATGGCCCCAAGTGTTTTGAATCAAGGTATGGGGGTTTCAACCTGAGCTTATGCTTCAATGCTTTCTAGTAAATTAAGATTTTAATTTTTTTTCCCCACCTGGGAAAACTCATCCTCTCACTTTCTAATCACTTCGAGCCATAAGTAACAGCCACACCAGCAGTAACCAATGACATATCTCAGCTTTAGTCTCAGGAGGCTGTTTACTGGAACAGGAAAGTTGCCGTACTTCCCAGCAATGTCTGACACCAGGATTGCCTGGCAATGCAAATGCTGCAGTAATGGGGACATAGGAAAAGCATTAGCAGTACAACCGTTGAGAGTAAAACCACTGGCTAATTTTGCCTTGAATAGAGAAACAAAGGGGTGCCTTGTTATCAAGGTTAATTTTGCACATTGAAATTTTTATACCATAGCAACTTCTTCATTATTCAATATCAGTCCTTAAAAATGATGCTCAAGTTGAGCAAGAAACAGATGTGAAGTTGACTGGTCTGCAATTACTTTATAATGGATTATAAAAGGGCTGGCAAAGGGGCCACTTATATCATTGTCCCTGCCCATTAAGAGGTCTTTAGCACGACCCATGAAGCTGGTCTTGCATTATAAGTACAGAAGCCAATGTGACTGCTAGGAGTAATGGGACAGTTGCCAGGTTCTGCTTTCACGAGGGAGCTGCAGAGTTTCTCCTTCTGTCTCAGAAATGCTTCTCTGGTCTTTGCACTGAACAGGACAATTAAACTTGATTTGCAGACTCCCTGAGCAGGGGAGCCCTCTCCCCTGGCTCTGAGGAGAAACATGCAGAGACCCAGCAGGAGCAAGCAGGGTGCTGACGGGTGCATATGTTGTTACTCATGGCTCTGGAGTGACTCATCCCACAGAACTGACTGTGGCAGAGCACTGGCCCTGCTCAGCCCTGGGGAGGGGGCATTTCCCTTCCTGACTGGGGACTGCATGCCTGGGCCTGGGAGCTCCCAATGTTCTAAGAGAAACTTCTGCTGCAAGAGGTGTCCAGAGTGAGCAAGGAAGGGGCTGAATCATTGCTGCAGGTTGACCACATCTCAGACCAGACTACCACCCCAGAAATAGAAATGCCCCAGTTTGAGTAACACCTTCAAAGAAAGGGTCAGGTACATTTTGAGGTGAGGTGACTCCAGTTTGCTCCAAAATGTGAAATTAAAAAGGTCAGCCCAGAAAACAACTTTTTCCTCCCAGTATTACTGTGTGGGACACCCAGCTACCTGGAGCCTAGGGGTGTCATTTTCAAGCCATGGTTGATCCTTTACACCTTCAGCCCCAGTGATGCATGAGAGGAATGAGACCCTGGAGCATCCCAAAACAGAGGGGACCAGATAGACATCTCACTCCTCTTTATTACTGCTGCAAGAGCTTCTCCAGGGCTTGATGCTCGCCAGGATCCATCCTTCTGACCCCAGCACCCTATCCTCTCCCTACACCACCCCTCCTGTGCCTTAATGCACTTCATGTTACTGCCTGCATACATTTTCAAGCTGCTGCATGTGCAGGGACTGGGGTTAAGGATGGCGGAGGGAAGGAAGGTGGCAAATACTGTTTTGCCACAGGTGCCAGCATTTGCTCTGGCA